AAGCAGAGTTGCAGTCATCAGTAAGAGGAGGAAAAAAGATGCTAGAAAAGCAACAGATTGACAATCTACATTTGGTAGGTTTGAGACTGCCTTGGCTGGGACTCGAGCTGAGCTGAAGGGTATTGCTGACTATTTCAAGAAAGAGAACCAAGAGAAAGAATGTAAAGGGCCAGTGTAATCGGTCGTTTCTCAATTGGATTGGTTCACAGTGGCTAAGATGCTGACAACCATCACGAAGATTTGCAAGGAACCTCACAAGATAGATATCTTGTTTGGGTTACCAATGCACGTGCAGAGAGATTTTGTGAAAATGCAGCTTAGAGCAAGTAATGAGTACCGCCCAACGTTTGATTTCTAATGGAGTCTTGTAATGGTTTTTTTTTTTTTTTTTTTTTTTTTTTTGCACAAGGTCATTAGTATGCTGACATAGCAGTTGTCTTCTCGTATTTGTATTTTGCCTATATTCTAACTGCATACAGGATGATGTCTTTTGTTATGTTTTTGTCAAAACCATGCCTGTCTAGTAATTAAATGGCAATGCCCTATGTTTGCAGTTAGTATGGGAAGGTAGGGATCACTAATATGCAATGTAAAAAACTCTTAACTTTGATAGTGATGTATAAAATGTTGTGTGGATGTCTGTGCATTTAATGTTTGTGTTGCCTTAGTATGGTGAATGTGGCATTTTGATTAGTTCACCAAAAAAGTACGATACAAGTATATTAGCATTTATAAAGTGTTAGTTCTCTAATTTATGTTTTCTTTGCCTCTTTGATGTGCTTTGTTTTGTGGGTTGGTGTGCAAGAATGATGAAAGGACCACCACATTGCCCAGTAGTAACGACCGAAAGTGCAAAAGTTTGTGAACAATGTCAAGAGAGCCACACAGTTTGTATGGATAACAATCTGAAAGGTATTATGGTTGGATGGTTATGGAGTTAATTTGTTGTATGGTTGAGAATAATGCTTATTAATGTAGCTCATAATTGATTGATGTGCAGATATAGGCAGGACCAGTCATTCAGTACATGAAGAATGTTAGGAGATTCCTTCAGCCTTAAAGGGCAGCAAATGCAAAGGTACCAACATTGCAACTCATAAACCGACTAATGCATTCAGTTATGAAAGATATTTAGAATCGTTTGCTAATGTAAATGAATGATGAACATATGTAGGTGCCACAAATCAACGAAGGTCAAGTAAGCGATTGGCAAATAGAAGGGGAAGGGAGTTGTTGCGGAGCAGTATGTTTGACCTCCACATGGGGTACATAACTGTTTTACAATTCTGATGCTTCAGGCCATATTTACATAATATATTTACCTCATATGATTGACTGCATATTTCTATTTTGTAGCAAATTGTGGAGGAGTTTTAAAGGAGACAACTTGCACAATTTCATAAGCTTGGATTGCATGTGGTTTTTTATGTACACAAAAGAAATCTACAAAGGGAAGGTGCTGAAGTGGATTAATGACTTGGACATATTCTCAAGAAAATATGTGTTCATTCCTATAATCCTCTGGTGAGTGAAAATTTTGTGTCTGTACGCATTTATTTTTACTTACCAAACGCAGACATGGGTTGACTTCGGTTGCTTAAGACTTGACATTGATAATATGCATAAATTATGCTGACAGGGGTCATTGGAGTTTACTGATTTTGTGCAACTTTGATGGAGATGTGAACTTGGAAAAAAACTCGATGCATGGTGCTGCTTGATTCGCTTGGATTAGATGACGAAATGAGGCTGCAACCTCTAATTCGATGGTAAACTTTGATTATTTCACAATTATTTGCAAGCACATTTGAGCACATGATGAAATTGTGTTGTTAGAGATGTGGTACTGGAATGGGTTTGAAATTGTCCAAATTTAATTATGCAGGTTTTTGAAGGATATTTATGAATCAGGAACAATGCCCAAGCATCCAGCATTGGTTGATAAAGTGCCTTTGCTAGTGCCTAAGGTGATAAAATAGTATATTGTGTTGGTTGATGGTAAATAGTGGTTGATATGTTCAGTATTTCATGTATTTGTTGTGACCGATATATACACTCACCAGGTCCCTCAACAACGGAACGACATGGATTGCAGATATTTCATATTGTATTATATAACCAAGTTTGTGGAAGCTACCCAGAAGATTTTTCAATCAACAACGGGTATCCTTACTTTGTAAGTACTACAGTCATTTAATTGATCAGGGTGATTTGTTTATTGTCTCTTCAATTATAATATGAGGGTTATTGTTGTTGTTGATTTTTATTCTCAACAGATGACGTAGGATTGGTTTAGCCTTGCTAAATTTACAGCCTTTCGTGACAAACTGTTGTGCGAAGTTGAGTAGCATAGGCTGTGTTTTATTCATTTATGTATGACTATTGTGTAATTTGTATTTGCGGACGTCAGATTGAGTTCACTTAAAAAATTGCGGAGATTACGTTCACTGTTACAACGTGTGGAATTATGTATTATTATTGGTTCACGGATTTAAAGAGCATCGTTTTTTTGCTTGCATTTTATTTTTTGGTACATTGCTTGGATTCAGTATAATGTAAATGCACAAGTACTCCAAAATATGTGATATTACAAATGTACCAATAATTCTCACACTTTTCACACATAATTTTGGTCTAGGATAGTGGAAAAAGTTAACAAAATTTCTCAAATTTGGAAATTTGCATCTGAATTCCAACCATGGTGTAAACCAAAAAAATACAATTTTTCTTTTGCCTTGAAAAAAAAAAGGCTTCAATTGGATTCAAGTAGAAATCAATTATGTAGGAACTATAATTTGGGGCAGTACACAAATCAGAATTTTAAATTGGGAGATAGGAACTATATTAGTTGCAATAATAGGGTGAGGTGTTGAATGCATACTCAACAGAAAATACAATAACTTTTTTTCGAAGTTTCAATAGTCTGTGTAAATTTGTCAATAAATGAATTAACAATAAAAAATTTGGCTAAAATATAAGAAAAAGAATTTTGTTAATTGATCATTTCTTTTATTAACCAAACATATTAATTATTTATACCCGTAATCATTTAAAGGGCATTTTAGTAAAATTTAATCAAGACATCTGCTCTTACAACCAACCAAACAAATTAATTAGTAATACAAGCAATCATCCCAAGGGCATTCTAGTAAAAGGGTATTTCAGGACATCTGTTATTACTATCAACCAAACACATTAATTATTAATACATCCCAATTGAACCAAGCACAATAATAATTTAAACCCAGTATTCTACAATGCAATCTTTCTTTCCGGTAATCTTATTACTAAGATAAAAAAACATTATATGATTCAAACGCCCCCTTATTGTTATATCTTGATTTAGGATAATGTCAATCTTTGAATCTTAATTCAAATCGCTATCATAGGGTGAGTAACGCTACTTCCTTTACTATAGGATGATTTGTCTATTGTATATTTATTTATTTAAAAAATCATGGGATAATTTGATAGATAAAAGAAAAGAAAAAAGAAATACAAACACACAAATAATGAATATTTACATTCTATCTTTAATATACAAGGGATAAAGTTATCTCTTGTATTGTAGCTTAACTTTTCAGATTAAAGTAAAAGTAACCCTTAATCTAAGAACTATTATAGGATAAGTAACATTATCTTTATTATAATAAAATGAAAAACCTTCTATATCGTATATTTGTTTATTAAAATAAAATAAATACACGATGAAATGTCTAAAACTTTTTTTCTGAAGAGAGAAAGAGCTATAAAGTGAGGAAGCTATGATTGGAAAATTTTGCTATTCTTTTCATGGGTACTTGGAAATCTTGCATGACTTTCTGGTTTTCTAATCATTAATATTTTATTTGTGTTTGCATATGCTTAATCTTATAGTATTCTAAAGTCTGAACTCTTTACAACATTTGCATTAATGATTGAATACTTAATCAAAAGCTGACCAAGCTGCTTATCTTAAACATAATATTATACTAACAATTAAAGCTAGCTATTGATTGGGTTTGAAACTCTACAAGAATTTTGTTTAATTTATTTATTCTACTAAAAAAATTTGATTGGAAAATTAAGAAACTTGTAGCTTGTAGGCAGTATTGACCAATGATAGTTGCATCTAGACAAGGCCACGTGTGTAGGACCTCCATAGCCTCCTCTTCTTCCCTTGCATTTCCCTTCTTTAATTTTTTTATCTTTTATCTTTTGTCTTTTTTTTTTGTTTTTTTTTGTTTTTTTTTTGGGTGGGTTCATTTTGTTGACCTCCCTTCACGTTTTCAAAATTTTTCAAAAGTCCCCTTTAGTTTAAGAGTGTCGCTCACCTCCTCTGTGAATATTTATCTTTAATGGTAATACAATAATGTTATGCTTACTCACGAGTTTACTAATTGTCTTATTATCTTTGTTAAAATTACATATAGTACTCGTACTATGCGTTATATTTATAAAGGATAGTAAGATAGTTAGTAAGATCGTAAGTAAACATAACATTACTCAATAGTAATATTACGTATACAAAGTTGAGAAAATGTATGGTACCATGATGGTATCACAACTCAATGCATACACATTAAGTAGGTATTATATTTAATAACAACACATCATAATAAGTCTAAAGATAAATGAGAGAAAAACTGAGAAGTTGTACAAATTCACTAGACAATGGGATCAGGGATGGATGATGTGGTACCACAATACTATTCTAGGCATTTCTTTTACAAAGTTATCTCAACTTTGTAAGTGTGGTATGTAGTCTATGTTCATTAGATAGGGAAAATTAAGCAAAATCTGAAGGGAGGTAACTGGTAAGCGGGGGAAGTCAACAATAATATCCAAAATATGAGGGTGTATTATGAAAACAACTAAAAGTAAGGGGAGGTGAAAAAATTACCCCATGAATTTTTGAATACAAATCATTTCTCAAATCCCCTCCAGAATCTGTTATTTAATCAGAAGCTACCCTGAAACACTTTCCAATTCACACACACAAACACAGATAGAGAAAGAGAGAGGCTTTAAGTATGAGTGCAAGCTACTTTCTGATTCATGAAGTGTTGTAGAGCCACTCAAAACTTTAGTTTAAATCATACATTTCACTTCTGCTGCACAAAGATGCTACCAAAAATGTTGCCAGACTATGATCCAAATGACAATGAAGCTGGCATGAAGCTCCTGGAGGACCTTACGACAAATGCATATGAAATTCAGCAGCAAGTTCTCAGGGAGATTCTTACTCGAAACGCACAAACCGAATATCTAAAAGGGTTCTTGAATGGGCAGTGTGATGAGGATTGTTTCAAGAAGAAAGTTCCTGTGGTGAACTATGAAGATATCAAGCCTTATATTGAGAGAATTGCCGATGGAGAGCCATCAGAAATTATCTCAGCTCAACCGATTACTGAGCTGCTCACGAGGTATGAAACGAATATCGTTTGTTTTCATTTCGAGTTTTCGAGGAATTTTTTTCTGAAATTTTATTTGTTGATGTGCAGCTCTGGAACTTCAGGAGGGCAGCCGAAAATGATGCCTTCAAGTGCTGAAGACTTGAACAGGAAGACATTCTTTTACAATATGCTTGTGCCTGTGATGAACAAGTGAGAATTGGAGCTTTAAACTTTTTCTCGAATCGTTTTTTTTTTTTATCTTTTTTCCAATTTCGATTGTGCTTTCGAAATGAATGTAACAGTGAAAAATCCTTGGAATTGCAGGTATGTGGAAGGATTGGACAAAGGCAAAGGAATGTATTTGTTGTTCATCAAACCAGAAATTAGTACTCCTTCTGGGTTGATGGCAAGGCCTGTGTTAACCAGCTACTACAAGAGCAGTAACTTCAGGAACCGCCCGTTTAACCAGTACAATATCTACACAAGTCCTGATGAAACCATCTTGTGTCCAGACAGCAAGCAGAGTATGTACTGCCAATTACTCTGTGGATTAGTCCAACGCGATGATGTGCTTCGAGTTGGTGCAGTTTTCGCTTCTGCTTTTCTGCGCGCGATAAAGTTCTTGGAAGATTACTGGAAGGAGTTATGCAGCAACATAAGGACTGGCCATGTCAGTGACTGGATCACTGATCCTGGCTGCAGAGGTTCTGTGTCATTAGTTCTTGGCGGCACGAATTCAGAATTGGCAGATTTGATAGAGGAGCAATGCAGTGGAAAGTCATGGGAGGGGATAATAAAAAACCTGTGGCCTAAAACTAAGTTCATTGAGGTTATTGTTACAGGTTCCATGGCTCAATACATCCCAACACTTGACTTTTATAGTGGTGGACTCCCTTTAGTTTCAACGATGTATGCCTCTTCTGAATGTTACTTTGGGATCAATTTTAAGCCTCTCAGCAAGCCTTCTGATGTTTCCTACACTCTCCTTCCAAACATGGCCTACTTCGAGTTCTTGCTGGTCGAGAAAAACAATGGAGAATTGACTCAAAAAGTCCACTGCAATGGTGTTTCTGATAAGAATTGCATACAAGCCAGTGATGAAAAGGAGGAATTTCAAACTTTAGATCTCATGGAGGTCAAGCTTGGTCAGTACTATGAACTTGTCGTCACAACTTTTACTGGTGAGCCTTTTTCTCTATTTGGATCTGACCCACCAAGAATTTTAAGTACAAGTTTTTTTTTCTGATTTTGTTTGTGAATCTTTTTTGCAGGCCTATACAGATACAGAGTTGGGGACATTCTTATGGTAACCGGCTTCCACAACAAGGCGCCGCAGTTTCGCTTTGTGCAGCGAAGAAACGTCGTGTTGAGCATCGACACAGACAAAACGAACGAGGAAGATTTATTGAAAGCAGTGACGCAAGCTAAGTGCCTCATCGAGCCTCTCGGATTCCTGCTGACAGAATACACAGGGTATGCTGATACATCTTCGATTCCGGGACATTATGTACTGTTTTGGGAGCTGAAAATGAAGGGAAGCAACGATCTGCCGGAGCTTGATGCTGAAAAAATGGAGCAATGTTGCTCAAAAGTGGAGGAAAATCTGGATTCTGTGTATAGGAGGTGCAGGAAAAAGGATAAGTCAATTGGGGCACTGGAAATAAGAGTGGTGAAGCATGGAACATTTGATGCATTAATGGATTTTTGTGTGTCAGAGGGGTCTTCTGTGAACCAATACAAAACACCAAGGTGCATCAAATCTGAAGAAGCCAGAAAGTTATTGGATTCCAAGGTGGTAGGGAAGTTTTTCAGCAGAAAAACTCCATTCTGGGAGCCATTTAGAATGGAAATTAACTAATAAGTGATTATTTGTAAAAGTTCTTTTCTTATTGTTATTATTATATGCTTTTTTCAGCAACAGATTGACAATCTAATTTGGTAGGTTTGAGACTGCCTGGCTGGGACTCGGGCTGAGCTGAAGGGTATTGCGACTATTTCAAGAAAAGACCAAGAAAAGAATGTAAGGGCCAGTGTATCGTCGTTTCTCAATTGGATTGGTTCACAGTGGCTAAGATGCTGACAACCATCACGAAGATTTGCAAGGAACCTCACAAGATAGATATCTTGTTTGGGTTACCAATGCACTGCAAGAGATTTTGTGAAAATGCAGCTTAGAGCAAAATGATTACCGCCCAACGTTTGATTTCTAATGGAGTCTTGTAATGGTTTTTTTTTTTTTTTTTTTTTTTTTTTTTTTTGCACAAGGTCATTAGTATGCTGACATAGCGTTGTCTTCTCGTATTTGTATTTTGCCTATATCTAACTGCATACAGGATGATGTCTTTTGTTATGTTTTTGTCAAAACCATGCCTTGTCTAGTAATTAAATGGCAATGCCCATGTTTGCAGTTAGTATGGAAGGTAGGGATCACTATATGCATGTAAAAACTCTTAACTTTGATAGTGATGTAAAATGTTGTGGATGTCTGTGCATTTAATGTTTGTGTTGCCTTAGTATGGTGAATGTGGCATTTTGATTAGTTCACCAAAAAAGTACGATACAAGTATATTAGCATTTATAAGTGTTAGTTCTCTAATTTATGTTTTCTTTGCCTCTTTGATGTGCTTTGTTTTGTGGGTTGGTGTGCAGATGATGAAGGACCACCACATTGCCCAGTAGTAACGACCAAAGTGCAAAGTTTGTGAACAATGTCAAGAGAGCCACACAGTTTGTATGGATAACAATCTGAAAGGTATTATGGTTGGATGGTTATGGAGTTAATTTGTTGTATGGTTGAGAATTGCTTATTAATGTAGCTCATAATTGATGATGTGTGCATATAGGCAGGACCAGTCATTCAGTACATGAAGAATGTTAGGAATTCCTTCAGCCTTAAAGGGCAGCAAATGCAAAGGTACCAACTTGCAACTCATAAACCGACTAATGCATTCAGTTATGAAAGAATTTTAGAATCGTTTGCTAATGTAAATGAATGATGAACATATGTAGGTGCCACAAATCAACGAAGGTCAAGTAGCGATTGGCAAATAGAAGGGAAGGGAGTTGTTGCGGAGCATTATTTTTGACCTCCACATGGGGTACATAACTGTTTTACATTCTGATGCTTCAGGCCATATTTACATAATATATTTACCTCATATGATTGCTGCATATTCTATTTTGTAGCAAATTGTGGAGGAGTTTTAAAGGAGACAACTTGCACATTTCATAAGCTTGGATTGCATGTGGTTTTTTATGTACACAAAAGAAATCACAAAAGGGAAGGTGCTGAAGTGGATTATGACTTGGACATATTCTCAAGAAAATATGTGTTCATTCCTATAATCCTCTGGTAGTGAAAATTTTGTTTCTGTACGCATTTATTTTTACTTACCAAACGCAGACATGGGTTGACTTCGGTTGCTTAGACTTGACATTGATAATATGCATAAATTATGCTGACAGGGGTCAGGGAGTTTACTGATTTTGTGCAACTTTGATGGAGATGTGAACTTGGAAAAAACTCGATGCATGGTGCTGCTTGATTCGCTTGGTTAATGACGAATGAGGCTGCAACCTCAATTCGATGGTAAACTTTGTATTATTTCACAATATTTGCAAGCACATTTGAGCACATGAGGAAATTGTGTGTTAGAGATGTGGTACTGGAATGGGTTTGAAATTGTCCAAATTTAATTATGCAGGTTTTTGAAGGATATTTATGAATCAGGAACATGCCCAAGCATCCAGCATTGGTTGATAAGTGCCTTTGCTAGTGCCTAAGGTGATAAAATAGTATATTGTGTTGGTTGATGGTAAATAGTGGTTGATATGTTCAGTATTTCATGTATTTGTTGTGACCGATATATACACTCACCAGGTCCCTCACAACGGAACACATGGATTGCAGATATTTCATATTGTATTATATAACCAAGTTTGTGAAGCTACCCAGAAGATTTTTCAATCAACAACGGGTATCCTTACTTTGTAAGTACTACAGTCATTTAATTGATCAGGGTGATTTGTTTATTGTCTCTTCAATTATAATATGAGGGTTATTTTTGTTGTTGATTTTTATCTCAACAGATGACGTAGATTGTTTTAGCCTTGCTAAATTTACAGCCTTTCGTGACAAACTGTTGTGCGAAGTTGAGTAGCATAGGCTGTGTTTTATTCATTTATGTATGACTATTGTGTATTTTGTATTTGCGGACGTCAATTGAGTTCACTTAAAAATTGCGGAGATTACGTTCACTGTTACAACGTGTGGAATTATGTATTATTATTGGTTCACGGATTTAAAGAGCATCGTTTTTTTGCTTGCATTTTATTTTTTGGTACATTGCTTGGATTCAGTATAATGTAAATGCACAGTACTCCAAATATGTGATATTACAAATGTCCAATAATTCTCACACTTTTCACACATAATTTTGGTCTAATAGTGGAAAAAGTTAACAAAATTTCTCAATTTGGAAATTTGCATCTGAATTCCAACCATGGTGTAAACCAAAAAATACAATTTTTCTTTTGCCTTGAAAAAAAAAGGCTTCAATTGGATTCAAGTAATCAAATTATGTAGGAACTATAATTTGGGGCAGTACACAAATCAGAATTTTAAATTGGGAGATAGGAACTATATTAGTTGCAAATATGGTGAGGTGTTGAATGCATACTCACAGAAAATACATAACTTTTTTTTCGAAGTTTCAATAGTCTGTGTAAATTTGTCAATAAATGAATTAACAATAAAAATTTGGCTAAAATATAAGAAAAGAATTTTGTTAATTGATCATTTCTTTTATTAACCAAACATATTAATTATTTATACCCGTAATCATTTAAAGGGCATTTTAGTAAAATTTAATCAAGACATCTGCTCTTACAACCAACCAAACAAATTAATTAGTAATACAAGCAATCTCCCAAGGCATTCTAGTAAAAGGGTATTTCAGGACATCGTATTACTATCAACCAAACACATTAATTATTAATACATCCCAATTGAACCAAGCACAATAATATTTAACCCTATTCTACAATGCAATCTTTCTTTCCGGTAATCTTATTACTAAGATAAAAAAACATTATATGATTCAAAACGCCCCCTTATTGTTATATCTTGATTTAGGATATGTCAATCTTTGAATCTTAATTCAAATCGCTATCATAGGGTGAGTAACGCTACTTCCTTTACTATAGGATGATTTGTCTATTGTATATTTTTTATTAAAAAATCATGGGTAATTTGATATATAAAGAAAGAAAAGAAATACAAACACACAAATAATGAATATTTACATTCTATCTTTAATATCAAGGGATAAAGTTATCTCTTGTATTGTAGCTTAACTTTTCAGATTAAAGTAAAGTACCCTTAATCTAAGAACTATTATAGGATAAGTAACATTATCTTTATATAATAAAGAAAAACCTTCTATATCGTATATTTGTTTATTAAAATAAATAAATACACGAGAAATGTCTAAAACTTTTTTCTGAAGAGGAAAGAGCTATAAGTGAGGAAGCTAGATTGGAAAATTTTGCTATTCTTTTCATGGGTACTTGGAAATCTTGCATGACTTTCTGGTTTTCTAATCATATATTTTATTTGTGTTTGCATATGCTTAATCTTATAGTATTCTAAAGTCTGAACTCTTTACAACATTTGCATTAATATTGAATACTTAATCAAAAGCTGACCAAGCTGCTTATCTTAAACATAATATTATAACTACAATAAAAGCTAGCTACTGATTGGGTTTGAAACTCTACAAGAATTTGTTTTTAATTTATTTATTCTACTAAAAAAATTTGATTGGAAAATTAAGAAACTTGTAGCTTGTAGGCAGTATTGACCATGATAGTTGCATCTAGACAAGGCCACGTGTGTAGGACCTCCATAGCCACCTCTTCTTCCCTTGCATTTCTCTTCTTTAATTTTTTATCTTTTATCTTTCGTTTTGTTTTGTTTTTTTTTTTTTTTTTAGGTGGGTTCATTTTGTTGACCTCCCTTCATGTTTTCAAAATTTCCAAAAGTCCCCTTTAGTTTAAGAGTGTCGCTCACCTCCTCTGTGAATTTTATCTTAATGGTAATACAATAATGTTATGCTTACTCACGAGTTTACTAATTGTCTTATTATCTTTGTTAAAATTACATATAGTACTCGTACTATGCTTATATTTATAAAGGATAGTAAGATAGTTAGTAAGATCGTAAGTAAACATAACATTACTCATAGTATTTACGTATACAAAGTTGAGAAATGTATGGTACCATGATGGTATCACAACTCAATGCATACACATTAAGTAGGTATTATTTTAATACAACACATCATAATAAGTCTAAAGATAATGAGAAAAAACTGAGAATTTGTACATATTCACTAGACAATGGGTCAGGGATGGATGATGTGGTACCACATACTTTTCTAGGCATTTCTTTTACAAATTATCTCAACTTTGTAAGTGTGGTATGTAGTCTATGTTCATTAGATGGGGAAAATTAGCAAAATCTGAAGGAGGTAGGAAAAATGAAATCGCAAGAAATGTCCTTGATGTATGCACACCTGACATGCAGTTTATATATGTCCTCCTTGGGTGGGAAGGTTCCGCTGTAGATGATAGAGTTCTTAGGAATGTCATTACTAGGAGAAATGGATTAAAGGTCCCCCAAGGTAATATAACAAAATAAATTGTATTTTTAATGTTAGGGTCTGCCACAGTAGTACACTTATTAATTGTTATTGACTTGAAATTGTTTATTTTTGGGCAATACTATTTATGTGATATTGGATACATTAACGGGGAAGAGTTTTTGGCCCCTTATCGAGGACAAAGATATCATTTGAGTGAATGGCAGCAAGGTCACTAACTAGCATCACCACAATAATTTTTCAACATGAAACACTCTCAAGCAAGAAATTGTATTGAGCGATGTTTTGTCATCCTAAAAGCTCAATAGGGAATATTGAAGGACACATCTTACTACACCGTCAAAACTCAATGTAGAATTATTATTGCTTTCTTTTGCATAATTTCATAAGGTCTGAGTTGCCCATTGACTCGGTTGAAGCGGAGTTGCAGGAAGAGGTCAACGATGAAGGGCAAGAGGATGACGGTGGAGAATTGATCATGCACATTGAGCCCATGCCACGTGGACTGCATTTAGAGACAATTTGGTGGCTGAAATGTTCTATACTTGGATGGCTGCGCGGAATACATGATTGTGCTTATGTTTAGTATATGTGTAGTGTTGTGACTTTTTAAATTTCTGTCTTTTATGATTTGTCATGTATGAATGAACCAAAAAAAAAAAAAAAAACGCTTTGTTTGTGGACTTGTACTTTAACTTACATTTGTCGTAATGTGGATGGTTGAATGTTAATTGATCTTGTTCATGTATTATTCTTGTTGATTTACTTAAAATTATGAATATCGCGTATATTAGTAACTCGAACACTGTGTATATACAAAGTTGTAACTTGATTTTTTTTTTTTTTCCCAATATCACTAATTTGCCTTTTTATTGTTTTAGCAATATGGAGAGGTCAGCAACACAACCCAATGAGTCCAACAAGAGCATTAGCATGCATGATGACGCTGTGCCTACGAAAAAGGGTAGAAAGGGAAAGGCAAAGGCTAAGGGAAGTAAGCGGCACTAGACAAAAAAGGAGGACGTTGTGTTGGTAGAGTGTCTGCTGGAGCTGAGCAGCCACTATGGAGAATTGAGCGGGGGTTCAAATGCGGTTACCAAGATGAGATCGAAAAGATGATACGGGAAAAACTTCCTCATTGTGGTTTGAAAGCACAACCACATATCGACTTGAGGGTCAAGATGTTGAGGAGGCAATATAATGCAATCAATGACATGCTTGAGAAAGGTAGTGGCTTCGGGTGGAATGATGAGGAGAAATGTATTACATGTACCAAGGATGTCTTCAATGACTGGGTCTGGGTAAGTATGCTTGTGTTGGTTTATTTGTGTACATTTATTTTCTGAACTTTATGTTTATATGCACTCATACAAATGTTATATGTCTTATGATGATTAACTTTTTTGTAGAGTCATCCTTTTGCAAGAGCATTGCGATATAAACCATAGGTGCCTATGATTCTTTTGTCGCCATCTACGACAAAGACAGGGCCAACAGAGCTGGTGCAGAGACAGCTACTGATGCTATTGAAGATTTGCATAATGAGACTACTGACAACACTGATAAACAGATAGACATCGATCTCGATTTTGACGGGCAAATCAGTGCCCTACAGAAGGATGATGTGGTTGATTCTACTTTTCAGGTTGCCACTACCAATCAAAGTAGAGTTGCGATTAGCAGTGAGAGGAGGAAAAAAGATGCTAGAAAAACAATAGNACAAAGTTGAGAAAATGTATGGTACCATGATGGTATCACAACTCAATGCATACACATTAAGTAGGTATTATATTTAATAACAACACATCATAATAAGTCTAAAGATAAATGAGAGAAAAACTGAGAAGTTGTACAAATTCACTAGACAATGGGATCAGGGATGGATGATGTGGTACCACAATACTATTCTAGGCATTTCTTTTACAAAGTTATCTCAACTTTGTAAGTGTGGTATGTAGTCTATGTTCATTAGATAGGGAAAATTAAGCAAAATCTGAAGGGAGGTAACTGGTAAGCGGGGGAAGTCAACAATAATATCCAAAATATGAGGGTGTATTATGAAAACAACTAAAAGTAAGGGGAGGTGAAAAAATTACCCCATGAATTTTTGAATACAAATCATTTCTCAAATCCCCTCCAGAATCTGTTATTTAATCAGAAGCTACCCTGAAACACTTTCCAATTCACACACACAAACACAGATAGAGAAAGAGAGAGGCTTTAAGTATGAGTGCAAGCTACTTTCTGATTCATGAAGTGTTGTAGAGCCACTCAAAACTTTAGTTTAAATCATACATTTCACTTCTGCTGCACAAAGATGCTACCAAAAATGTTGCCAGACTATGATCCAAATGACAATGAAGCTGGCATGAAGCTCCTGGAGGACCTTACGACAAATGCATATGAAATTCAGCAGCAAGTTCTCAGGGAGATTCTTACTCGAAACGCACAAACCGAATATCTAAAAGGGTTCTTGAATGGGCAGTGTGATGAGGATTGTTTCAAGAAGAAAGTTCCTGTGGTGAACTATGAAGATATCAAGCCTTATATTGAGAGAATTGCCGATGGAGAGCCATCAGAAATTATCTCAGCTCAACCGATTACTGAGCTGCTCACGAGGTATGAAACGAATATCGTTTGTTTTCATTTCGAGTTTTCGAGGAATTTTTTTCTGAAATTTTATTTGTTGATGTGCAGCTCTGGAACTTCAGGAGGGCAGCCGAAAATGATGCCTTCAAGTGCTGAAGACTTGAACAGGAAGACATTCTTTTACAATATGCTTGTGCCTGTGATGAACAAGTGAGAATTGGAGCTTTAAACTTTTTCTCGAATCGTTTTTTTTTTTTATCTTTTTTCCAATTTCGATTGTGCTTTCGAAATGAATGTAACAGTGAAAAATCCTTGGAATTGCAGGTATGTGGAAGGATTGGACAAAGGCAAAGGAATGTATTTGTTGTTCATCAAACCAGAAATTAGTACTCCTTCTGGGTTGATGGCAAGGCCTGTGTTAACCAGCTACTACAAGAGCAGTAACTTCAGGAACCGCCCGTTTAACCAGTACAATATCTACACAAGTCCTGATGAAACCATCTTGTGTCCAGACAGCAAGCAGAGTATGTACTGCCAATTACTCTGTGGATTAGTCCAACGCGATGATGTGCTTCGAGTTGGTGCAGTTTTCGCTTCTGCTTTTCTGCGCGCGATAAAGTTCTTGGAAGATTACTGGAAGGAGTTATGCAGCAACATAAGGACTGGCCATGTCAGTGACTGGATCACTGATCCTGGCTGCAGAGGTTCTGTGTCATTAGTTCTTGGCGGCACGAATTCAGAATTGGCAGATTTGATAGAGGAGCAATGCAGTGGAAAGTCATGGGAGGGGATAATAAAAAACCTGTGGCCTAAAACTAAGTTCATTGAGGTTATTGTTACAGGTTCCATGGCTCAATACATCCCAACACTTGACTTTTATAGTGGTGGACTCCCTTTAGTTTCAACGATGTATGCCTCTTCTGAATGTTACTTTGGGATCAATTTTAAGCCTCTCAGCAAGCCTTCTGATGTTTCCTACACTCTCCTTCCAAACATGGCCTACTTCGAGTTCTTGCTGGTCGAGAAAAACAATGGAGAATTGACTCAAAAAGTCCACTGCAATGGTGTTTCTGATAAGAATTGCATACAAGCCAGTGATGAAAAGGAGGAATTTCAAACTTTAGATCTCATGGAGGTCAAGCTTGGTCAGTACTATGAACTTGTCGTCACAACTTTTACTGGTGAGCCTTTTTCTCTATTTGGATCTGACCCACCAAGAATTTTAAGTACAAGTTTTTTTTTCTGATTTTGTTTGTGAATCTTTTTTGCAGGCCTATACAGATACAGAGTTGGGGACATTCTTATGGTAACCGGCTTCCACAACAAGGCGCCGCAGTTTCGCTTTGTGCAGCGAAGAAACGTCGTGTTGAGCATCGACACAGACAAAACGAACGAGGAAGATTTATTGAAAGCAGTGACGCAAGCTAAGTGCCTCATCGAGCCTCTCGGATTCCTGCTGACAGAATACACAGGGTATGCTGATACATCTTCGATTCCGGGACATTATGTACTGTTTTGGGAGCTGAAAATGAAGGGAAGCAACGATCTGCCGGAGCTTGATGCTGAAAAAATGGAGCAATGTTGCTCAAAAGTGGAGGAAAATCTGGATTCTGTGTATAGGAGGTGCAGGAAAAAGGATAAGTCAATTGGGGCACTGGAAATAAGAGTGGTGAAGCATGGAACATTTGATGCATTAATGGATTTTTGTGTGTCAGAGGGGTCTTCTGTGAACCAATACAAAACACCAAGGTGCATCAAATCTGAAGAAGCCAGAAAGTTATTGGATTCCAAGGTGGTAGGGAAGTTTTTCAGCAGAAAAACTCCATTCTGGGAGCCATTTAGAATGGAAATTAACTAATAAGTGATTATTTGTAAAAGTTCTTTTCTTATTGTTATTATTATATGCTTTTTTCATTCTTTTTTATTTTTTTACTTAATGGTGTATGCTTGATTTGTATGGTGGTAATTAGACTATTAGAGATATTAATTATTAGTTCTGTGTGTGTCTCCATTTCTGCAACTGCAAAATCTTTGTTCTTCTAATAAGTGCTTCCATTGAGATAAAATGGCTTTGAGTGAAGGGGGTAAGGCATTGTTTGGGGTGCATTAAATTGAGATAGCTAAAGTTGGTATGTGCAAAGGAACTGTCATTTCAATTTCCCTTTCAAACACTATCATTGTCTACCAATTTCTTTGTTTCAAGGAATTAAAAGAAAATATAACTATAAAACATGAGACATAAATTTAAGTACTATTTAGAANTCGCTTCTGCTTTTCTGCGCGCGATAAAGTTCTTGGAAGATTACTGGAAGGAGTTATGCAGCAACATAAGGACTGGCCATGTCAGTGACTGGATCACTGATCCTGGCTGCAGAGGTTCTGTGTCATTAGTTCTTGGCGGCACGAATTCAGAATTGGCAGATTTGATAGAGGAGCAATGCAGTGGAAAGTCATGGGAGGGGATAATAAAAAACCTGTGGCCTAAAACTAAGTTCATTGAGGTTATTGTTACAGGTTCCATGGCTCAATACATCCCAACACTTGACTTTTATAGTGGTGGACTCCCTTTAGTTTCAACGATGTATGCCTCTTCTGAATGTTACTTTGGGATCAATTTTAAGCCTCTCAGCAAGCCTTCTGATGTTTCCTACACTCTCCTTCCAAACATGGCCTACTTCGAGTTCTTGCTGGTCGAGAAAAACAATGGAGAATTGACTCAAAAAGTCCACTGCAATGGTGTTTCTGATAAGAATTGCATACAAGCCAGTGATGAAAAGGAGGAATTTCAAACTTTAGATCTCATGGAGGTCAAGCTTGGTCAGTACTATGAACTTGTCGTCACAACTTTTACTGGTGAGCCTTTTTCTCTATTTGGATCTGACCCACCAAGAATTTTAAGTACAAGTTTTTTTTTCTGATTTTGTTTGTGAATCTTTTTTGCAGGCCTATACAGATACAGAGTTGGGGACATTCTTATGGTAACCGGCTTCCACAACAAGGCGCCGCAGTTTCGCTTTGTGCAGCGAAGAAACGTCGTGTTGAGCATCGACACAGACAAAACGAACGAGGAAGATTTATTGAAAGCAGTGACGCAAGCTAAGTGCCTCATCGAGCCTCTCGGATTCCTGCTGACAGAATACACAGGGTATGCTGATACATCTTCGATTCCGGGACATTATGTACTGTTTTGGGAGCTGAAAATGAAGGGAAGCAACGATCTGCCGGAGCTTGATGCTGAAAAAATGGAGCAATGTTGCTCAAAAGTGGAGGAAAATCTGGATTCTGTGTATAGGAGGTGCAGGAAAAAGGATAAGTCAATTGGGGCACTGGAAATAAGAGTGGTGAAGCATGGAACATTTGATGCATTAATGGATTTTTGTGTGTCAGAGGGGTCTTCTGTGAACCAATACAAAACACCAAGGTGCATCAAATCTGAAGAAGCCAGAAAGTTATTGGATTCCAAGGTGGTAGGGAAGTTTTTCAGCAGAAAAACTCCATTCTGGGAGCCATTTAGAATGGAAATTAACTAATAAGTGATTATTTGTAAAAGTTCTTTTCTTATTGTTATTATTATATGCTTTTTTCATTCTTTTTTATTTTTTTACTTAATGGTGTATGCTTGATTTGTATGGTGGTAATTAGACTATTAGAGATATTAATTATTAGTTCTGTGTGTGTCTCCATTTCTGCAACTGCAAAATCATTGTTCTTCTAATAAGTGCTTCCATTGAGATAAAATGGCTTTGAGTGAAGGGGGTAAGGCATTGTTTGGGGTGCATTAAATTGAGATAGCTAAAGTTGGTATGTGCAAAGGAACTGTCATTTCAATTTCCCTTTCAAACACTATCATTGTCTACCAATTTCTTTGTTTCAAGGAATTAAAAGAAAATATAACTATAAAACATGAGACATAAATTTAAGTACTATTTAGAATTGGTGTATATATATGTGCGTGTGTGTGTGTGTGTGTGCATTGATGATGACCCTGCTATTATTTGATCAAACAGTTGAAAAAAATTTATGGACATCATGTACCACCCAGCTGGGTGTGGCATGAATGCAGCAAGGCAACAAGCTATATATTAGGGTTTTATTACATTGCCACCCTTAGGCTTGGCAAGAAATGTTTTCCTCTAGTTTTGGGAAATTAATGCTGCCAATTTTGAATGACCTTTTTGTTAGTTAAATATAACAGTTAAAAGGGATAAAAAATATTTTGAATAAACAACCAGCATTTTTTGTCCAACGGCGGGAAACTTTTAGTATTACTACAATTCTTTGTATAAAAATAGTCAATCGTTTAACCAAAATTGTCAACTGTTTATTTAAAATGTTTTTTGTCCCTCTTACCACCATTACATTTAATTGATAGAACATCTATTTGGGGTGTTGGTGTTAGTTTCCCAAAATTGGAAGGACAATATATGTGTACCAAACCTTAGGGGTGACTATAAAATTAACTCATATACATTATGAGGTGAAGATCTGATCATCAGCTAGTAGGGCCTTATGTGCCAAACTTTGGTCAAATTTTCCTGATATTTTTAAACTTAAATGTTAATGTTGGTCCAAAGCTAAAAACTTAATATGCCAAAGTTAGAAGGTCTCGAGATGGAATTCTTCCAGTCTCAAGTAAGTACGCAATCAGACGTCTCTTGCTTTCTCGGTATTGAATCTTAAGTTAATACTGAATAGACGTCTCTTACTTTCTAATTTATTGAATCCTTCACATTTAAAGTTAGTATTGAATCAGCCGTTTCCTCGTTTCTAACACAATTATGGTAAATAAAATGAACGGAGGAGATAAAAGGAGAGAGACAATGAATTGAATATCAATGGAGATAGAAAAGCATTGAAGAGTTTTATGGAGGCAAAGGCCAACAAGAAGCCACGTGTGCACGAAGTTAGGGGTGAGATCCATGAAGCATGGACAAAGGCAAAAGGGGACAATGAGAGCAACCCAAGGAGACATAAAAAACTGTACAAGCAAAATGGAAAGTCTTAATACACAGGCCCTTGAGCTTTGTCTCAAGCATTTATGGGAAACATGTGGCCTTAACCACCGCCATCTCTACCCCATCAGGTGAGGTTGGAGTTGGAGTTGGACACTACTCATCTTCTTCTTTCATTTTACTTCATTTCTATATAGGGCTCCACTTTGAGTCTTTTTCTTTTCACCAATCAAATGGCTAAACAATTTCATTCATCAATTATAATGTCCTTAAGCCAGCTTTGACTAATCAACGTTTACTTGTCGGAGAAGAAGATAGATGTATCATATCATTTATATAGCAATGATCTAATAAAATCATGTTATATATGTGCAAGAATTTTTATCTTTCTTTTATGTTTCTTTATTGGTGTTATATAAAACCAAATCAAATTTTTATCTTTAGATAACGGTTAGGGTTTGATCATGGTTCCCTTGATCGTGATCATGGAAGATACACATGATTTAAAGTGAGGAGAATCTTGTTAAATTACCCAAAGCTTAATTAGAATATTAATGGCAAATCCTATTTCAAAGTTTATCTGGTCCTTTGATCGTAATCTAATAGGTGGAATTTGTAATGTTAGCAGACCAGTAACATATATAACTATTTCCTGAATGATTACAATAGTTTTGTGATAAGTTGCTGGGTGGCTGCTACTTGAGGTGATGATGATTTAGGAGTCAGTCAAAATCAATGTTTAAAGTAGAATGAGATGTATCAAAGGGAGAAATATACACGGTGAAAGAAATGGGAATTGGCAGTTAGTTAAGGTGATATTAAGACCAAGCACACGTGTGTTGGGCTCATGTTGGGGACATTTTTGAGAAAAAGACGGCCTTCTTGTAGCTGTCTTTGACTCAATTCCCGGAGCTTTGTGCTCACTTTTATTAGCCCTTCAACACCACCCTTTTCACCAAAAAAATTCAACTAGATTGAGACTATTGCTTTGCCTTCTGCGTTTGCCCCTCTCGGTGATAAGCTAATTAGTTCATGTCCTTGTGCCCATTTGGTGATAGTGAAACATCTTTGAGAGTAGTGGGTCATTCTTGCTTTGACAAATGAGGGTTTTGTGAGGTTCTACCACACGCATGTACCATCCATCCTCACAAAATTCCAATAAATTGAGTATATGATTGATTGAAGTTTTGCGAATGTACCTATATAGCTCGAGGGATGCCTTGAGTCGGTAATTGATGATAACGTTGTTGTCTGTCAAGTAATCATTTGATTCACACTATTCATTTTTTTTTTTTTTTTTTTTTTTTTTTTGTGTTTGGAGAATTAAGGTGCACCCACAGATGAAATTTTAATTGAGAATGCTTTTAAGTCTAAATGATTATAGATTATAGTTTTATTAATTAAAGTACATATAACTCAAGACAACTTTATAATATTATGTCAACAATTGATAGGGTTATTAGTCAAGTAATCATTTGATTTGCACTGTTCACTTTCTTTGTTGGGAGTTGAGATTAATGTTATTGTTTGGTAACGCACTTAGCATATCCCCCAACCCAAATAATTGAATTGAGAATTTTTTTGTTTTTTAAGCAGTTTTAATTATTAATATGAAGTCTGCAATCGATAGTGCTGTTCACTCTTTTTTCTTTTTTTAGAAATATTATAAAAATAAAAAAGGGTCAAGAATGTATGGTTCAACATACTTAGCATCTCTCATAGATAATATTGATGTCTGTGTTTGTTTTAGTATTTTTGATATTTTTAGAGTTGAGTGAGAATAATGAGGTAAGATTTAAAAATTAACAAAAACACCCCCCTAAGTTTGTTAAATAACTGAACACCTTAGTAATAAAAACATTAAAAATTACAAAAACATCCCCACTCACCCATTAAATTTCGGCAGCCAGCCATCACAGTCAGAGGGTGGCTAGAGTCATCGTATCGGTGCACGACCGGCTAGATCTAGCCGGTCGTGCATCGAGATGGCTTTTTCCTGCTAGATCCACTATAGATCTGGCCATACGGCCAGATCTAGCCCTGTTTGGTCCTCAACGACTGCCATGTTTGGTTGTCAATGACGCCCATATCTTGGCCGTCGTTGACAACCAGTTACGGCCAAAGATCCGGTCATTCTTTGGTCGTGGATCTGGCCGAAAAATGATAGATCGGCGCACTATCGACCAGATCCAGCCAGTAGTATGTCATTATACCATATTCCAGCCACTTTCTAGCGATGGTGGCCGAAATTTGGCAAATGTGGGTGGGTGGGGGTGTTTTTGTCAATTTCTAAACTTTTTTTGGGGTGTTTAGTTAAATTAATAAACTTAAAGGGTTTAAAAAGTTGAAGAAAATATAATAGTATTTTCAGAATAGGGAAACAAACTGATATTTTGGAAATAGTATGAATATGATAGTTAAAAATATTTAAACAAACAAACCCGGTAATATTGTATTGTTGTCGAGTAATCATATTATTCACACTTATCACTTTTGTGATGAACAAATCTAATTGTAACGCCCACATCGAGGTATGTAGTTTTATGTATTCTCTAATACCCTTAGTTGAATTTTGTTAAAGTTATCCTGAACAAGTGTGAAGAAAATGCATTAAAATTTCATTAGGGGTAAAATGGTCTTTTCACTCATAATTAGTTGAAAAAATGGAGAGTGAAAAGAGATAGAATTTCATGGAGAAGTTAATAAAAATGAAGGCATTATTGTAATTGACTAAGGGACATAGATGGAATTTCATAGAAAGTGCAAAGGCAGAATAGGAAAGTAGAAGTAATAAATGAGATGTTTTGAGTTTATTCTTGAAAACCTATCATTCTCTACTCCCTCACACACCACTTTCATCTCCAAATTCTCTCATTTTCTTTATCAAATTTCCAAGGCAATTTAGAGGATTTTTGGTTGTATATATAAAGAAAAATTGGGCCCATTATTTTATACTTATCTATATGTATATTTTCGTAATATTTATATTTAGTGAGTTTTACTATTTATTTTACAAGTATACTAGCTAGAGAGAGAATCATTACACTAATGATACTAAAGGATGAAGAATGTTATTGTTTATGTACTTAGTATCTCTCATAGAAAAAAATTCAAATGAATGCTTTGTTGTTTAAATTATGTATTGTTAGAGATATTATTAATTGCCGTTTTGTAACATAAATATAAAGCTAAGTTTCAATTTGTATGGTAGTTGATTTGGTAAATCATATTAGTCGAAATCTAAAGTTTAGGATCCCAACTTTATAAATATAAAATTATTTTTATTATTAAAGTCGAGAGTGTTAACATAAATTTGATTGAAAATGCTTTGTCATTGAAATTATGTGGCGATAGATATAAATAATTGAAATACAGTTAATTTACCCACAAAGTGAAGAGCAACTCTACACTAGTGTCTTGACAATTTAAATTATGTAGAGATAGAATGTAATTGGTTGAAGTGTAGCTAGAATTTTTTTTTTTTTTTTTTTTTTTCAAATTAAGCTAAATGACTATAAAATTCATGTTTTGACTTAATTTTTTTTTCATAATATAAAGGGTTTGAAGCAAAAGTAGAAAT